TAGGATCCTTTAGAGAAGCAACCTAGCATAATTTTTCCTTTTTAAGGCTTTATTATATCAATCGAAATAAATAGTCCACTTTTTAAGTACACATAAAGGACACATTTATGTAAAATTTACAGAAAATTTTCTTAATGTGGCTACTGAAAGCCTAACGTATAAGACGGGGACAAGAAACAGCACGTAAAACTCGCAAAAGGTCACAGCCCTGTGAGACTACCTCAAAACTCAGGCTCACACTGATCACCAAAACAGACACACTATGGGAGCCCAGCTTCTTAAAAGTGTACACACATCGCAATCTAGATGAGATTGAGTCAGTTCAGCAGAAAAACAGGTCTGAAATAAACTCAATTATTTGCCAGAGTCTCAAGTAGAGGAATTGTATTCAAACTAAAACTGAGGATTAAACAAAAGTCCTCACACACACAAAAACAAACCTGCAAATGGGAACACGTGTTTCCAAATGATCACTGAACTTCTAAATTGCGGTGTATATTCGGTATATAGTATTTATGAACACAAACCAACATCCTGGTAGGGAGGACCACCAGGCTCCCTTTTCAAGGATGTTCAGAATCTTATTCTCTTAAATGGAACTTTAGTTTCCCTGAGTCAAAAAAAAAGTAGCTAGCAGGCAGTCAGCCACAGGACTTGGTCAGTGTGCTGTTCTGCAGCGTCCCTCCATTGCATGAGTTTGCTTGCAGTCGGTGGGGAGGCTGGTGCTCCCGTCCCCTCAGCTCATCCTTTGTGCAGGTGCTTTCTCTCAGGGCACCTAAGATGCTTGATCTAGAGACCTGTGGCCACATCTTTTTCGCAATTTAAAGACTCCAGGGTTCCTTTGTCACAATCACATGACACCTGGTTTCATTTTTTCTGACTTTATTTCATTTTGCCAGCTACAGACCTAGTTTCTTATTTTAGACTTTAAATATACTCGTCCCGCTTATTGGAAAATATCCTAAATTGGCCACGCATTTAACAAACTGTCATTTGAGAGCTCAAGCCAAAATCCAAGTACACACAAGACTTAGACCCACAATTCTTGGCCATGTCACAAGGCAGCTTTCCACTAATAAATCAGTTGTTTTCTGAGACAGTCCTACATGCCAAGATTCACGAAACTCCCAATGATGATTAGAGTTCCCACCGCCCACCAGGCAGCACTTCCAATGTCAACAATTCGAAACAGAAATGCAAACAGCAATGATTAGAAGAACTGCTACACAAGGCGCGGGGCTCAGATTCTAAGACGGGTTGTTTGCTTGTTTGTTTGTTTGTTTGTTTTCACCTGAGCAACCTCAATATAAAGCCGAGACTATGGAGTGCGGTCAGCTCCGCTTGATACTGAAGCAGGCATTGATCTGGGATCACAGCGGCTACCTAGGGAATCCCTGACACCAGAAATGTCAACAAAATTCTGAGAATGGACTCACAGTGTAAAGCAATACTGGAGATGTATTACCTGATCAACAATTGTGGATTGAGGAACATACAACTTGGACCATGAATTCCAAAGAAATGTGGCAGCCGCAGGCTTACTGTCATCAGAGGGGAACAAAGGAAGTCTGAGAAGTTCAGGCAGTTTTATCTGTTTTTTTCAGAAATTTAGTAAAATGCCCTTTGAAATCCTTTCTTTTCTGAAATGTTCCTTTGACTTAGAAGACAAATGTTGAAATCTTTGTTTTGAGGGTTTTTTTCTGGTTTTGTTTTGGGGGCAGGGGCAGTGCCTGTGGAGCTGAGACAGCCACTCCCTGTCTAGAATGCAGAAATTAAAGGAGCAGGAGCTGTTGATTATACATAAATCTATGGAAATAAACTGATGATTATTTCTAAAAATTAGGTCGCCTATCACCATAAACATTTTCTCTGTGGAACCAGTTAGCAGTCATGCTCTTCCGACGTGGCCCAAGTCATCTTTTAATTACATAGCCTCTGTTCATCAAGCTATGACTCTCAGCACAGACAATGGTAGGGGTTTTTTCTACTACATTTGAATTCCTGCTTATTTATATTTGGGGCATAAAACACTTTATGCCATATAGTGAAATTGGGATTAGACTATTGTCCCTCACATGGAGGTCCCAGATTCCAAGGTCCTCAACTGCAGCTTATTAAGCTTAAAATGACTTGCATTTGCTATATTCGTTCTCACAGTGACAGCCAATTACATGAAATTAAGGGTGGTCGTTGTTGGTTCGGAGTTTTTCCTAAGTCAGCAACTAAAACTCTCTACGCTATATACAGAAATGAGGATGGAGAAGAGGTTGCTTCTGCAGTTTAATTGTATCTGTTTCTTTTCAATATTTCACTTTTTACTGAAACAAATGGACAAAGATAAACATAACCTGATATTAAGGAACATGATTTCATCCCTGCCCTCTCAAAACACCATGAATTTTAGCACCTGCTTTATAAATTCACTGTGCCTTCATAAGTGAGCTTTTAAAAATGTTTTTACTAAAGGGGAACCGATCACAAGGATCTACATATAACCCCTTCCCTGGGGGACGGACAACAGAAGAGTGGGTGGAGGGAGACATTGGACAGTATAAGACATGACAAAATAATAATAATAATTTACAAATTATCAAGGGTTCATGGGGGGGGCCTGGGGATAGAGGGGAGGGAGGGGGAAAAAGGAGGAGCTGATACCAAGGGCTCAAGTAGAAAGCAAATGTTTTGAGAATGATGAGGGCAATAAATGTGCAAATGTGGTTGAAAAAAATGTTTCCACTAACTCATCTCTAATTCAAGTAGGGGAGGAATAATTAAATATTCATAACATATATACAGCACATTAATTAATTCCTAGCCCCTAATCAGCTGAACCTTCTTGCAAGAAGCATGTACAAAAGAAAGAAAGAAAAAGCATGGACCCTTCAAAAATGTACCAATGATTATTTTTATTTTTCTATTTCAATAAACAGTGTTTCTGAAATGCATGGAAGAAAACGAATCTGTAACTTCTCAAATGTGGTTATCACTCAGATTACTTTAGGGTAAAGTTCTACTGGCCTTATTCAGGTGGTTGAATTTACATCCCAGTGGCATTTGGTACCCCGGGCATCACTATAAAAATATGCCTGAGAAGGGCCATCTGCCTTCTTCCTTGAGTTTCCCTCTAGCCCCACTCTGAATGATCCTTTGAGGCTTAGGCTGATTGTACATCTCAGAGGACACATCTGAGAGAAGGCTCAGTGAGTATGTATCCCTTCTATCTTGCATAGCATGAATAATGTATGAGAAGCTTATGAAATATGTACTCACATAGCCTTCCTCTATTTTAAAGAAAACACTAAGCCACACCCATAAGAAGAAAAGAGAAAAAAACTCAGAAAATGTTTATCAAATTAGTCTCTAACTTCATAGGACATTGTTGTAAAGAATGAGTTTCTACATGTAAATTGGATACCATCTTGAATTATATAACCCGCTAACTTCCCTAAACCACATGATCATGTTGTGGTGTGAAAAATAAAGGAGATTGAGTTCACCGTATCAAAAAGAATTATCCTGGCAGGGGGATTTGGGGATCTCAACATTGCACAGTTCCTTGATTTTAATGCTTTGCAGTCCAGCTATTCATACATGATGACTATGCGATAAATTGTAAAGAGCAAATCCCTTCACTGAGAGGATTCCTCATTTGTGAGGGGCTGCCTCCGCCCTGCCTTCAGCAGAACACGTGTGAGCACAAAAAGGAGGCAGTCAGCATTGGAGTTTCCTTTGATATCGAAGAGAGTGAAGCAAGCATTCTTGTTCTCTCTCTTTCTCTTTAAGATAAAGAGACAATAATTACATCATATTCCCAGAACTATACAAGGAGGCTTCAGAAGTTTGCAGAAGAATTCCATTATCTTTTGATTGCATTTTCCCGTGAACTTTTTGAAGAACGCTCATTTATGTCAGGAAAAGAAGGAAGAGGGTTAACGTGAGGGAGTGAAGAAGGTAGAAAGGAAAGAAGAGAGGAGGAAGATATCAAAATATGTTCACTGTCCTATTATGATAGACGATTACGGCGCTGCCTTAACTCTCTCTTTCACTCTCTTGTTTTTTTGGAGGAAATGCAGGAAAGCATACAAAATGAACATACTGTATAGGTATTTCTGCTATTGAAGCAATTTTTATAATGGAATTATAATCAGAATTTAACTCATCAAGGCTTATATTCTGTCAGTATTCCCACGGAACTTGCCAGAAAATTCCAAAATTGTATAGCCTTACTTCACGAAAAAGAATGACTATAGAAACCAAATAGGCAAGTCACATTTTTATGAAACAGAATCAATGAATGGAAGAGAGAAAAAGAGGAGAGAGGGGGGAGAATAAAGGAGATTAAAGGAAGGGAGAAAAGGGAAGAATCAGGGTTAATTGGTAAAAACTGAAACTCTAGCAGACATACTGTGAATGTCTTTTAAGTTACACTATAGAAGCACACTCCCATCTATATCTTTATTTTAAAATGCGAACCAAAACAAAACTGCCCGCAATAGACCTATGTAACAAGTATTATAGGAAAACTCTTGAAGTACGTATCAGGAGAAATTTAGAAATCAAATGAGCTAGTATATATGAAAATTATTTTTAAATCTATAATATATAAGATAATGCTATTAAGTTGAATTATGCTAGAATTTCCTTTAGATAAGTATTAAAATTATGATATTTGAAATTTCAATAAAGTAGAATCTAACCTACTTACTATTCTGTTTTGAAATTTGTATTGCAATATTGATGTATGATGGTAATAGTTATTGACAAAATAATAAAGCATAAGATATTTTCTACAATAACTCATTTATTCATCCATTTATAGAATTCTGTTCATAATTCTGTTGCCGCTACCCATAGTTGCTTTGGTTTGAACTAAACCCTCTAAGCTTCTACATTAACACTAAAAATAAATGTGAGTGTGGTGAACATTCATCAGTTATTAGAGATTTAAAGGGCTTGATCTAGACATCTGTGACTGGATTTTCCATGTGTTTCATTTGTAGCCAGGATCCAGACTCAGTCAATATTAATTGCACAAAGACAGCTAAAATCAAGTCACAAATAACTGTCCTTCAGGTGGGAACTCTGCGATCAATGAACACGTGTGAGTATTTGCTTCCGGCTGCTTTGCATTTTTCGTGAATGGGCTGGCCAGGGCCAGAACCAACCCGAGGAAGCTTTTCGTGGGTGTAAGCGAATCCATGTTTCTCTTATTTACACTCCAGAACTTACTTGTTTGAATGAAAACTGATATGATAAATCAGAAATGACAACAAGGTATTTTTCACTTGAAAAGCAACACATCAATATGCTTTACATAATAATAGTGCATACTGTCAGTTATTCACTCAGATTGTATAGCTGTTTATGCCAGAACCAATAAATAACTCTAATTTCATGAATCTATTGATTCATGAGGTAGATACATAATTCAGAGAAATAAGCCTGTGTTGCTACAATTTTGAAAAATCTCAATGTCTGTTCGCAATGTGTTTCCTTTCATGAGTACGTCACTATTTAATACGGGAATTAACTTTAAATCCATTTGTACCTAAATGCATGTCATTGGATTAAATGCACAAATTTAGGATTTGTCACAAAAATACACTTGAAAATGAAGATGAATTCGATTTTTCAGCTAATCACATTCATGTGGAGAACCTCTGGTGTAGTGTTTACAAGTTATGCTACTAATGTCAAGATCAGCAGTTCGAAACCACTTGCTGACCATCAGGAAGAAGATGAGGCTCTCTACTCCTCTCAAAATGAATGGTCTCTGAAACCCAGGATGGCAGTTCTATCCTGCCCTGTGGGATTACTGTGAGTCAGAAACTAGTAGACGGCAGTGAATTTGAGGGTTCTCAGAAATGGTCTGAAAGAACAGGATGCTAGTTGATGGTTTAAATCAGTGATTCTCAACCTGTGGGTCACAACTCCTTTGGGGGACGATCGACCCTTTCACAGGGGTCACCTGATTCATAATAGTAGCAAAATTACAGTGATGAAGTAGCAATGAAAATAAT